CTCATACAATAACTTTAATGTAAAAGATACTGTAAGTACATCCATTGGATGTTCTGTTTGGAATCACCTGCTTCGTTTTAAGGTGGTAAAACAAATTGTTTGTATTTATTCCTTTCTACACACTTTGCAGATTACTTTTTCTGCACTCCACGTGTTTAATCTGTGTGCGCTCTGGCGGGGTGACGATCATCCCGTTTATGCTTTACTTTTTTTTTTTTTTGAAAGACAGTCTGACTGTCACCCTTTCCCACAGCACTTCTCTGCTGTACAAGGAGACAGTAAAGGCTGAGTTTTATAATCGCTCTTTGGAACGCGCGCATTCGGCCGTGTGTCGTCGCGCTATGACCGCAGGAGAAACTAGGTCCAGACTCAGCGAGCTTTTGTGAGTCCTGGAGCACTACTTCACCTGCACTGACTGCTGCCTCGCTGCGTCACCATGTGCCGCAGTGTGGTCGGTGGGCATCCGACCGGAGGACGAGCCGTCACGTAAACATGTAAACAGTTCGGCATTCATTTTCGCACACCTGAACCAGGTCCGTTTGTGTTTTTTTCCCCCCCTCTTCATTTGTGCTCTCAGCCACGCTGCTTGGCCGGTAGACTACAGATCTCTCATAGGACAAATTTATATWGTTTTTACCGTATATCGTTTATATCACGCATTCCTACCTGGTGGTAGTAGGGTTGGGCAATATTGGCAAAAAAAAAGAATCACGATTAATTGTGGTATTTAGCCGATAACGTTTAATTTGACGATTAAACGCCCAGACCACARGTGTCRAACTCCGGTCCTCGAGGGCTGCTGTCCTGCATGTTTTCTTGTTTCCCTGCTCAAACACACTTGATTTGCATGAATGGATGATTAACAGGCTTCTGCAGAATTTAAGAAGTTAATTGAAGCACTGAATCAGGTGTGTTGAAGCAAAGAATCAAGGAAAACATGCAGGATGGCAGCCCTCGAGGACCGCAGTTTGACACACCTGCATGTCCCTTTTTATATGACCAGTTTAAATCACTCTAGTGAGAAAGATTTGCTCTCCTTAAAAATCTGTTCTAAATTGTGTCAAAAGTACAGACTCCAGGCTAAACCTTATTTTTTTAATTGTGTTGATAGACCAAGTAAAACCAGAGTTATGATAAAGAAGTTTTAAATGTTCGTTATATTTGCAGCGTAGAGGAGCACCGAGTGGACTGACCAGAGAAATCTCCAGTCACTCTGTTTGTTGGCATTAATCAAATTATTCATCAAGTGCCAAAAATTAGTTTTTCTGACGATTAATTGCACATGATACGATTTTGCCCAACCCTAGGTGATAAATTATTTATTTTTTAATTGTTTTATCTATTGAGAAGCACATTTTGCACCTTTTGGCTGTTAGAAATGGCTTTATATATAAATATTAATTGTTTGATCAAGCTTATTTTGGACCTGATATTTATTAAAACATATCTTATTTAAAAGACGAACACTAACTCAGTCATCAACTTTTAATAGTATAATTTAGACCCTCTCTTGTCACTATAAACAGGTGTGTGACTGTAAGTAGAGGACTGTTTGTCTAGGTTTAGTTTCTGATTGTAGCACAAGACTAGTAATAATTGAATATTACACCAGAAAAACTGAATCCTAATTAATCTGTTATGTTTGGGGTTTTTGACAGAAATGACATGTTCACTGTGTTCTTTCCTCTCAGCTGGTCTCACACAGATCAATAACAATAATGGGATTTTAATAATGATGTAATTTGGATCAAAGTTGCTGCTATAAATTCCAGTTGTGTTAAAAAACTGAGCGATGTAACGCTGGATTTGGCAAATCTGTTGGCTGAACTTGTTCCTGAAATTATAAAAAAATAAAATAAAATGCTGCAAAGAAATTTTATAAATTCACAGGATACTTTATGTATTCAGAAAGTTACATCTGTACAGTTTTGTTGTTTTATGTCACGAGTGTTGGAAGGGTAACTGTAATTGTTGTGGCAGGATTAAGTCCCACTGTGAGGTTTCTAACGCACTAAAGAAGTGGCACACAGCGTATCACGGCACCAGCGTGGGAACTCTGCGGCGCACTCTGGACCACGGCCAGCTACTTCCTGGTACAACAAACTCTCCTCTCGTTTAAATCAAAACGACTTGTTTCAGTTTAAAGTGTGACTTGAGGTAAAGCTGGTTGTTTAAACTAACAGGATGTATCTGTTTTATCACAGGGACTTCTTCCATCTTCTCCACGTCTCCGGTGAAGGCGGAGGCTCCCAGCGGCTACAGTGAGCCCGAGGAGAACAGCGCCCCCGGCAGGGAGGTTCCCAGAGCGCGCCTGTCCCCCACCATGCGCTACTCGGGTTTGGAGATCTTTGCTCCCAAAGTGCAGTGAGTTCCCCGCCCGTCTGTTKCCTGTTCCTCAGAGCGAGCGTGTCCTGACGGCCCCTTCTTCTCTTCAACGCAGATTTAGGGACCCCCGTTCTCATCGATGTCACCAGGCTCAGGTGGGCTTCCAGGTGTGCGTGCGGCCGGGCTCCTACAAGGTCGGACCTCAGACCCTCGGCCACAGCGAGGCCGTGGACCCTCGCTTTAGCAACTCTGAGATCGAGTGGATCACCAAGGAGCAGGGCGGCACGCTCCTGTACGGACTGCTGATCCGGGTCGAGTGAGCCGAGCGGCGTACGGCGGAGTCGAGGACTTTTCATAAACAGACWAACTCAGCCTCGGCCTTGAACAAAGAGACTCCTCTGAAACGCGAATTGTCGACGCAGCTCAGCGTTTCTATTTTAGCTGTTCCCTCTCAGACCAGTTTGACAGCCGGAGGTGGTTTTTTTGTTTTGGTCATCTCAAAGAACAGACACTGCCTGCACTTTATGTTTCGGACACCTGTGGGCGATTTTTAAACTTCTTATCGAAACGACACGTTTGATCGTTTGCTCTTCCTTCCACGTTGAAGTGATCCCACCCCCCACCCCCCTGAACCGCACATCAACATTTTTTTCGTCCACGCTTAAGACTTTTTTCTTTTTAATTTTGGCACTTAACTTCAGCCTCCACTCTGATGAGTGTTTATTTTGGGAGAAGCTATTTCTTGTCTGCTGGTTACGCTGATGCATAAAACGTATGTTTAAAAACACACCAGGACCGTAGTTTTAATTTTAATGTTAAACAGAGACTTGAATCTGATAATGAACCCAGAATATTGTGATTGTGACCTCCTATTTGAGACAATTTTTTAAAACTGGAAGGAGATAAAAACAAAATGTTTACGCACCTAACCACTGTTCACTGCTGCCATTTTTATGTCTCCATAGTCAGATTTTTTTTCTTTCTTTTTGGCCAGCCATTATTTGATTTTTTTTTTCCAAATGAGAACTGTTCACTAGCTTTACTCTAAAGAGGGACAAAACTGGAGTTAAAACGTGACTTTTTAAATCCGCTGCAGTATGGAGGTAATT